TAGTACTAGTAGTGATAGTGATACTAGTAGTAGTGACAGTGGTATTGGTGTTGGTGTTGGCGGTGATAGTGTAGTACTAGTAGTGATAATGATACTAGTAGTAGTAGTGACAGTGGTATTGGTGTTGGTGTTGACGGTGATAGTGTAGTGATAGTAGTAGTGACAGTGGTGGTAGTAGTAGTGATAGTGTAGTAGTAGTATTGGTAGTAATAGTAGTAATGATAGTGATAGTAGTAGTGATATTAGTAGTAGTAGTGACAGTGGTATTGGTGTTGGTGTTGGCAGTGATAGTGGTAGTGATATTAGTGATAGTGATACTAGTAGTAGTGACAGTGGTATTGGTGTTGGCGGTGATAGTGTAGTGATAGTAGTGATAGTGATACTAGTAGTAGTAGTGACAGTGACTGTGGTAGTGATAGTAGTATTGGTAGTGATACTAGTAGTGATACTAGTAGTAGTGACAGTGACAGTGGTATTGGTGTTGGTGTTGGCGGTGATAGTGTAGTGATAGTAGTGATAGTGATACTAGTAGTGACAGTATTGGTGTTGGCGGTGATAGTGTAGTGATAGTGATACTAGTAGTGATAGTGATACTAGTAGTAGTAGTGACAGTGGTATTGGTGTTGGTGTTGGTGGTGATAGTGTAGTACTAGTAGTGATAGTGATACTAGTAGTGGTGACAGTGGTATTGGTGTTGGTGTTGGCGGTGATAGTGTAGTGAAAGTAGTGATACTAGTAGTAGTGATACTAGTAGTGATAGTGATACTAGTAGTAGTAGTGACAGTGGTATTGGTGTTGGTGTTATGTTGGCGGTGATAGTGTAGTGATAGTAGTGATAGTGATACTAGTAGTGATAGTGATACTAGTAGTAGTGACAGTGGTATTGGTGTTGGTGTTGGCGGTGATAGTGTAGTGATAGTAGTGATAGTGATACTAGTAGTAGTAGTGACAGTGGTATTGGTGTTGCCGGTGATAGTGATACTAGTAGTAGTGATACTAGTAGTAGTGACAGTGGTATTGGTGTTGGTGTTGGCGGTGATAGTGGTAGTACTAGTAGTGATAGTGATACTAGTAGTAGTGGTGACAGTGGTATTGGTGTTGCCGGTGATAGTGATACTAGTAGTAGTGATAGTGATACTAGTAGTAGTGCCAGTGGTATTGGTGTTGGTGTTGGCGGTGATAGTGTAGTGATACTAGTAGTGATAGTGATACTAGTAGTAGTGACAGTGGTATTGGTGTTGCCGGTGATAGTGATACTAGTAGTAGTGATAGTGATACTAGTAGTAGTGCCAGTGGTATTGGTGTTGGTGTTGGCGGTGATAGTGTAGTGATACTAGTAGTGATAGTGATACTAGTAGTGGTGACAGTGGTATTGGTGTTGGTGTTGCCGGTGATAGTGTAGTGATAGTGATACTAGTAGTAGTGACAGTGGTATTGGTGTTGGTGTTGGCGGTGATAGTGTAGTGATAGTAGTGATAGTGATACTAGTACTAGTAGTGGTGACAGTGGTATTGGTGTTGGTGTTGGCGGTGATAGTGTAGTGATAGTAGTGATAGTGAAACTAGTAGTAGTGACAGTGGTATTGGTGTTGGCGGTGATAGTGTAGTGATAGTAGTGATAGTGATACTAGTAGTGACAGTGGTGTTGGTGTTGGCGGTGATAGTGTAGTGATAGTAGTGATAGTGAAACTAGTAGTAGTGACAGTGGTATTGGTGTTGGCGGTGATAGTGTAGTGATACTAGTAGTGATAGTGAAACTAGTAGTAGTGATAGTGATACTAGTAGTGGTGACAGTGGTATTGGTGTTGGCGGTGATAGTGTAGTGATAGTGTAGTGATACTAGTAGTGATAGTGATACTAGTAGTAGTGATACTAGTAGTGATAGTGATACTAGTAGTAGTGATACTAGTAGTGATAGTGATACTAGTAGTAGTGATAGTGATACTAGTAGTAGTGATAATGAAACTAGTAGTAGTAGTGACAGTGGTATTGGTGTTGGTGTTGACGGTGATAGTGTAGTACTAGTAGTGATAGTGATAGTAGTAGTGGTGACAGTGGTGTTGGTGTTGGTGGTGATAGTGTAGTACTAGTAGTGATAGTGATACTAGTAGTGATAGTGATAGTAGTGATAGTGATAGTAGTACTAGTGATAGTAGTGATAGTGATACTAGTAGCGGTGATAGTGATACTAGTGATAGTGACAGTGGTATTGGTGTTGGTGTTGGCGTGATAGTGTAGTGATAGTGTAGTGATACTAGTAGTAGTGATAGTGATATTGGTGTTGGTGTTGGCGGTGATAGTAGTGATACTAGTAGTAGTGGTGACAGTGGTATTGGTGTTGGCGGTGATAGTGTAGTGATAGTGATACTAGTAGTGGTGACAGTGGTATTGGTGTTGGCGGTGATAGTGTAGTGATAGTAGTGATAGTGATACTAGTAGTGGTGACAGTGGTATTGGTGTTGGCGGTGATAGTGTAGTGATAGTAGTGATAGTGATACTAGTAGTAGTAGTGACAGTGGTATTGGTGTTGGTGTTGGCGGTGATAGTGTAGTGATAGTAGTGATAGTGATTCTAGTAGTGGTGACAGTGGTATTGGTGTTGGCGGTGATAGTGTAGTGATAGTAGTGATAGTGATACTAGTAGTGGTGACAGTGGTATTGGTGTTGGCGGTGATAGTGTAGTGATAGTGATACTAGTAGTGGTGACAGTGGTATTGGTGTTGGCGGTGATAGTGTAGTGATAGTAGTGATAGTGATACTAGTAGTGGTGACAGTAGTATTTGTGTTGGTGTTGGCGGTGATAGTGTAGTGATAGTAGTGATACTAGTAGTAGTGATACTAGTAGTGATAGTGATACTAGTAGTGATAGTGATACTAGTAGTGATAGTGATACTAGTAGTAGTGACAGTGGTATTGGTGTTGGTGTTGGCGGTGATAGTGTAGTGATAGTAGTGATAGTGATACTAGTAGTAGTGACAGTAGTATTTGTGTTGGTGTTGGCGGTGATAGTGTAGTGATAGTGATACTAGTGATAGTGATAGTAGTGATAGTGATACTAGTAGTAGTGATAATGAAACTAGTAGTAGTGGTGACAGTGGTGTTGGTGTTGGTGTTGGCGGTGATAGTGTAGTGATAGTAGTGATACTAGTAGTAGTGATACTAGTAGTGATATTGACAGTGGTATTGGTGTTGGTGTTGGCGGTGATATTGTAGTGATAGTGATACTAGTAGTAGTGATCGTGATACTAGTAGTAGTGATACTAGTAGTGATAGTAGTGATAGTGACAGTGGTATTAGTGTTGGTGTTGGCGGTGATAGTGTAGTGATAGTGATACTAGTAGTAGTGATAGTGATACTAGTGATAGTGACAGTGGTATTGGTGTTGGTGTTGGCAGTGATAGTGTAGTGATAGTAGTGATAGTGATACTAGTAGTGATAGTGATAGTAGTGATAGTGATACTAGTGATAGTGATACTAGTAGTAGTGATAGTGATACTAGTGATAGTGACAGTGGTATTGGTGTTGGTGTTGGCGGTGATAGTGTAGTGATAGTAGTGATAGTGATACTAGTAGTGATAGTAGTGTAGTGATAGTGGTAGTACTAGTAGTGATAGTGATACTAGTAGTAGTGATAGTAGTAGTGATACTAGTAGTGGTGACAGTGGTATTGGTGTTGGTGTTGGCGGTGATAGTGTAGTGATAGTGATACTAGTAGTTGTGATACTAGTAGTGATAGTGATACTAGTAGTGGTGACAGTGGTATTGGTGTTGGTGTTGGCGGTGATAGTGTAGTGATAATAGTGATAGTGATACTAGTAGTGATAGTGATACTAGTAGTGATAGTGATAGTAGTGATAGTGAAACTAGTAGTAGTAGTGACAGTGGTATTGGTGTTGGCGGTGATAGTGTAGTGATAGTAGTGATACTAGTAGTAGTGACAGTGGTATTGGTGTTGGTGTTAATGTTGGCGGTGATAGTGTAGTGATAGTAGTGATAGTGATACTAGTAGTGACAGTGGTATTGGTGTTGGCGGTGATAGTGTAGTACTAGTAGTGATAGTGATACTAGTACTAGTGATAGTAGTGATAGTGACAGTGGTGTTGGTGTTGGCGGTGATAGTGTAGTGATAGTAGTGATAGTGATAGTAGTAGTGGTGACAGTGGTATTGGTGTTGGTGTTGGCGGTGATAGTGTAGTGATAGTAGTGATAGTGATAGTAGTAGTGGTGACAGTAGTATTGGTGTTGGTGTTGGCGGTGATAGTGTAGTGATAGTAGTGATAGTGATACTAGTAGTAGTAGTGACAGTGGTATTGGTGTTGGTGGTGATAGTGTAGTGATAGTAGTGATAGTGATATTAGTAGTGGTGATACTAGTAGTATTGGTGACAGTGGTATTGGTGTTGGTGTTGGCGGTGATAGTGTAGTGATAGTGGTAGTGATATTAGTAGTAGTAGTGACAGTGGTATTGGTGTTGGTGTTGGCGGTGATAGTGATACTACTAGTAGTGATAGTGATACTAGTAGTAGTAGTAGTGACTGTGGTATTGGTGTTGGTGTTGGCGGTGATAGTGATACTACTAGTAGTGATAGTGATACTAGTAGTAGTAGTAGTGACTGTGGTATTGGTGTTGGTGTTGGCGGTGATAGTGATACTACTAGTAGTGATAGTGATACTAGTGATAGTAGTAGTGACTGTGGTATTGGTGTTGGTGTTGGCGGTGATAGTGTAGTGATAGTAGTGATAGTGATACTAGTAGTGATAGTGATACTAGTAGTAGTAGTAGTGACTGTGGTATTGGTGTTGGTGTTGGCGGTGATAGTGATACTACTAGTAGTGATAGTGATACTAGTAGTAGTGATACTAGTAGTAGTAGTGACAGTGGTATTGGTGTTGGTGTTGGCGGTGATAGTGGTAGTACTAGTAGTGATAGTGATACTAGTAGTAGTGATAGTGATACTAGTAGTAGTGACAGTGGTATTGGTGTTGGTGTTGGCGGTGAGCACCATCGCGAGGATTGCCCCTCCCGTGTCTCCGAGCGAGCGGTGTCTCAGCTGCTCCTCCAGCGCGCGGACACGGAGACGCAGAGACAGCAGCAGCTGTGAAGACACCGTGTCTCCACACACGTCCTGCGTGGAGACACACGGAGACACGGTGAGACACACAGAGACACACAGAGACACACAGAGACACAGAGACACACAGAGATACACAGAGACACACAGAGACAGGTAGAGACACGTGGAGACACACAGAGACACGGAGAGACACGGAGACGCAGAGACAGCAGCAGCTGTGAAGACACCGTGTCTCCACACACGTCCTGCACGGAGACACGGTGAGACACGGTGAGACACGGTGAGACACGCAGAGACACACAGAGACACGGTGAGACACACAGAGACACACTGAAACAGGTAGAGACACACAGAGATACACAGAGACACACAGAGACAGGTAGAGACACACAGCGACAGGTAGAGACACACAGAGACAGGTAGAGACACAGAGACAAACAGAGACACGTGGAGACACGGTGAGACACACAAAGACACACAGAGACACACACAGAGGCACACAGAGACACGTGGAGACACACCGAGACACACAGAGACCCACAGAGACACGTGGAGACACGGAGACGCAGAGACAGCAGCAGCGGGGAAGACACCGTGTCTCCACACACGTCCTGCGTGGAGACACGTGGAGACACGGTGAGACACACAGAGACACACAGAGACACCTGGAGACACACAGAGACACATAGAGACAGGTAGAGACAAACAGGGACACACAGAGACAGGTAGAGACACACAGAGACACACAGAGACACACAGAGACAGGTAGAGACACACAGAGACAGGTAGAGACACACAGAGACAAACAGAGACACGTGGAGACACGTGGAGACACACAGAGACACACAGAGACACGTGGAGACACACAGAGACACACAGAGACAGGTAGAGACACACAGAGACACACAGAGACAGGTAGAGACACACAGAGACACACAGAGACAGGTAGAGACACACAGAGACACACAGAGACAGGTAGAGACACGCAGAGACACACAGAGACACACAGAGACACACAGAGACTCACAGAGACACGCAGAGACACAGAGACACACAGAGACACACAGAGACACACAGAGACACACGGAGACGCACTGGGACACACGGAGACAGGGACACAGGCGACAGACAGACACGGAGACACAGGCACAGGGAGACAGGGGGACAGACAGACATGGAGACACACGGAGACACGGGGACACGGGGACAGGGAGACAGGGGGACAGACAGACATGGAGACACACTGAGACACGGGGACACGGGGACAGGGAGACAGACATGGAGACACACGGAGACACAGGCACAGAGAGACAGGGGGACAGACAGACATGGAGACACACGGAGACACGGGGACAGGGAGACAGGGGGACAGACAGACATGGAGACACACGGAGACACGGGGACAGGGAGACACGGGGACAGACAGACATGAAGACACACGGAGACACGGGGACACGGGGACAGGGAGACAGGGGGACAGACAGACATGGAGACACACAGAAACACGGGGACAGGGAGACAGGGGGACAGACAGACATGGAGACACACGGAGACACGGGGACAGGGAGACAGGGGGACAGACAGACATGGAGACACACGGAGACACGGGGACAGGGAGACAGGGGGACAGACAGACATGGAGACACACGGAGACACGGAGACACGGGGACACGGGGACAGGGAGACAGGGGGACAGACAGACATGGAGACACACGGAGACACGGGGACACGGGGACACGGGGACAGACAGACATGGAGACACACGGAGACACGGAGACACGGGGACAGGTTACCTCCGCGTCTTGAGACAGAGTATCGCTGTCTCCAATGTCCGAGCTTCGGAGAGACCCATAGGCAGACTCGGGCTGCAAAAAATATCATCATCATCATCAGCATCATCATCATCAGCAGCAGCATCAGCATCATCATCAGCAGCGTCAGCATCATCAGCATCATCATCATCATCATCAGCATCATCAGCATCAGCATCATCAGCATCATCATCAGCAGCATCATCATCATCAGCAGCATCAGCATCATCAGCATCAGTATCATCATCAGCAGCAGCAGCATCAGCATCATCATGAACATCATCAACATCATAATCTACATCATCATCATCTACATCATCATCAACATCATCAACATCATCATCTACATCATCAACATCTACATCAACAACATCATCATCAACATCAACATCATCATCATCTACATCATCATCAACATCATCAACATCATCATCATCATCTACATCATCATCATCAACATCAACATCATCATCATCTACATCATCATCTACATCATCAACAACATCATCATCAACATCAACATCATCATCATCTACATCATCATCAACATCATCAACATCATCATCTACATCATCAACATCATCATCATCATCTACATCATCATCAACATCATCATCATCATCAACATCATCATCATCATCTACATCATCATCAACATCATCATCAACATCATCAACATCATCATCATCTACATCATCATCTACATCATCAACAACATCATCATCAACATCATCAACATCAACATCATCATCATCATCTACATCATCATCAACATCATCAACATCATCATCTACATCATCAACATCTACATCAACAACATCATCATCAACATCAACATCATCATCATCTACATCATCATCAACATCATCATCATCAACATCATCATCATCATCATCTACATCATCATCAACATCATCAACATCAACATCATCATCATCTACATCATCATCAACATCATCAACATCATCATCTACATCATCATCATCTACATCAACATCATCATCATCTACATCATCATCAACATCATCATCATCAACATCATCATCTACATCATCATCATCAACATCATCATCATCAACATCAACATCATCACCGTCCAGAGTTCACCGAGACACGGGGAGACACGGGGACATGGAGAGACACGGGGACATGGAGAGACACAGAGAGACACGGAGAGACACGGAGAGACATGGGGACATGGAGAGACACAGAGACATGGAGAGACACGGGGACATGGAGAGACACAGAGAGACACGGAGAGACATGGAGAGACACGGAGAGACATGGGGACATGGAGAGACACAGAGACACGGAGAGACACGGGGACACGGAGAGACACAGAGAGACACGGAGAGACACGGGGACACGGAGAGACACAGAGAGACACGGAGAGACATGGAGAGACACGGAGAGACATGGGGACATGGAGAGACACGGGGACACGGAGAGACACGGGGACACGGAGAGACACGGGGACATGGAGAGACACGGGGACATGGAGAGACACGGGGACATGGAGAGACACAGAGACACGGAGAGACACGGAGAGACACGGAGAGACATGGAGAGACACGAGCACATGGAGAGACACGGAGAGACACGGAGAGACATGGAGAGACACGGGGACATGGAGAGACACGGAGAGACACAGGGACATGGAGAGACACGGAGACATGGAGAGACACGGGGACATGGAGAGACACGGAGAGACACGGGGACATGGAGAGGCACGGGGAGACACGGGACACAGAGAGACACGGAGAGACACGGGGACATGGAGAGACACGGGGACATGGAGAGACACGGAGAGACACAGAGACATGGAGAGACACAGAGACATGGAGAGACACGGGGACATGGAGAGACAGAGAGACATGGAGAGACACGGGGACATGGAGAGACACGGGGACATGGAGAGACACGGAGAGACACAGAGACATGGAGAGACACAGAGACATGGAGAGACACGGGGACATGGAGAGACAGAGAAACATGGAGAGACACGGGGACATGGAGAGACAGAGAGACATGGAGAGACACGGGGACAGGGAGAGACACAGGACATGGAGAGACACAGAGAGACACAGAGACATGGAGAGACACGGAGACATGGAGAGACACGGAGAGACATGGAGAGACACGGAGACATGGAGAGATACGGAGACATGGAGAGACACGGAGACATGGAGAGACACAGAGAGACACGGAGAGACATGGAGAGACACGGAGACATGGAGAGATACGGAGACATGGAGAGACACGGAGACATGGAGAGACACGGAGACATAGAGAGACACAAAGACATGGAGAGACACGGGGACATGGAGAGACACAGAGACATGGAGAGACACGGGGACATGGAGAGACACAGAGAGACACAGAGACATGGAGACATGGAGAGACACAGAGACATGGAGAGACACGGGGACATGGAGAGACACAGAGACATGGAGAGACACGGGACATGGAGAGACACAGAGACATGGAGAGACACGGGACATGGAGAGACACGGGACATGGAGAGACACAGAGACATGGAGAGACACAGAGAGACACAGAGAGACACAGAGAGACACGGAGAGACACAGAGACATGGAGAGACACGGGGACAGGGAGAGACACAGAGAGACACAGAGAGACACGGAGAGACACGGAGAGACACGGGGACATGGAGAGACACGGGACATGGAGAGACACGGGGACAGGGAGAGACACGGGGACAGGGAGAGACACAGAGAGACACAGAGACATGGAGAGACACAGAGACATGGAGAGACACAGAGACATGGAGAGACACGGAGAGACACAGAGACATGGAGAGACACGGGACATGGAGAGACACAGAGACATGGAGAGACATGGAGAGACATGGAGAGACACAGAGACATGGAGAGACACGGGACATGGAGAGACACAGAGACATGGAGAGACACAGAGACATGGAGAGACACGGAGAGACACAGAGACATGGAGAGACACGGGACATGGAGAGACATAGAGACATGGAGAGACACAGAGACATGGAGAGACACGGGGAGACATGGAGAGACATAGAGAGACACAGAGACATGGAGAGACACGGAGAGACACAGAGACATGGAGAGACACAGAGACATGGAGAGACACGGGACATGGAGAGACACAGAGACATGGAGAGACACAGAGACATGGAGAGACACGGGGAGACACAGAGACATGGAGAGACACGGGACATGGAGAGACACGGGACATGGAGAGACACGGGGACAGGGAGAGACACGGGGACAGGGAGAGACACAGAGAGACACAGAGAGACACGGAGAGACACAGAGACATGGAGAGACACGGGGACATGGAGAGACACGGGACATGGAGAGACACAGAGACATGGAGAGACACGGGGAGACATGGAGAGACCACTGGACATGGAGAGACACGGGACATGGAGAGACACAGAGACACGGAGAGACACGGGGACAGGGAGAGACACGGGGACATGGAGAGACACGGGACATGGAGAGACACGGGGACAGGGAAAGACACGGAGACATGGAGAGACACGGGGACATGGAGAGACACAGAGACATGGAGAGACACGGGACATGGAGAGACACGGGGACATGGAGAGACACAGAGACATGGAGAGACACGGGGAGACATGGAGAGACACAGAGAGACACGGAGAGACACAGAGACATGGAGAGACACGGGACATGGAGAGACACAGAGACACGGAGAGACACGGGGACATGGAGAGACACGGGGAGACACGGAGAGACACGGGGACATGGAGAGACACGGGGAGACACGGAGAGACACGGGACATGGAGAGACACGGAGAGACACAGAGACATGGAGAGACACGGGGACATGGAGAGACACGGAGAGACACAGAGACATGGAGAGACACGGGGACATGGAGAGACACGGGACATGGAGAGACACGGAGAGACACGGGGAGACACGGAGAGACACAGGGAGACACAGGGAGACACGCGGAGACACGGGGAGACACGGGGAGACACGGAGAGACACGGGGAGACACGGAGAGACACGGGGAGACACGGGGAGACACGGAGAGACACGGGGAGACACGGGGAGACACGGGGAGTCACGGGGAGACACGGGGACATGGAGAGACACGGGGAGACACGGGGAGACACGGGGAGACACGGAGAGACACGGGGACACGGAGAGACACGGGGAGACACGGGGAGACACGGGGAGACACGGGGAGAAACGGGGACACGGGGAGACACGGGGAGACACGGGGAGACACGGGGAGACACGGAGAGACACAGGGAGACACGGGGAGACACGGAGAGACACGGGGAGACACGGGGAGACACGGGGAGACACGGGGAGACACGGGGACACGGGGAGACACGGGGAGACACGGGGAGACGCGGGGAGAGACGCGGGGAGACATGGGGAGACACGGGGAGACATGGAGAGACACGGGGACATGGAGAGACACAGAGACATGGAGAGACACGGGGAGACACGGAGAGACACGGGGAGACACCGATGCTTCAAAAATCAAGAGGCGGCATCTGACCTTGGCCATGTCTCCATCCTGCTGCTGTAGCTGCTGTAGCTGCTGCTGCTGTAGCTGCTGTAGCAGGTGGTCGCATCTGGACTCGAGGCTTGCCTGCTCCTGCAGCAGGGTCTGGTGCCTGGAACGTTCTTCCTGCAAGACGTCCTCCAGGGAACGGCGCTCTGCTCGCAGACGCTCTGGGGAGACACGCGGGGAGACACAGGGGGAGACACGGGGGGAGACACGGGGAGACACGGGGAGACACAGGGGGAGACACGGGGGGAGACGCGGGGAGACACGGGGAGACACGGGGGGAGACGCGGGGAGACACGGGGGGAGATGCGGGGAGACACGGGGAGACACGGGGAGACACGGGGAGAGACGCGGGGAGACGTGGGGAGACACGGGGAGACACGGGGAGACGCGGGGAGACGGGGGGAGACACGGGGAGACACGGGGAGACACGGGGGGAGACGCGGGGAGACACGGGGAGACACGGGGGGAGACGCGGGGAGACACGGGGGGAGATGCGGGGAGACACGGGGAGACACGGGGAGACACGGGGAGAGACGCGGGGAGACGCGGGGAGACACGGGGAGACACGGGGAGACACGGGGGGAGACGCGGGGAGACACGGAGAGACACGGGGAGACACGGGGAGACACGGGGAGACGCGGGGAGACACGGGGGGAGACACGGGGAGACACGGGGAGACACGGGGAGACACGGGGGGAGACACAGGGAGACACGGGGAGACACGGGGAGACACGGGGAGACACCGTGTGTCTGTGTGTGTCTGTGTGTGTGTGCCGATGACCGGTACCAGCGGTGTCAAGATCGGCCTCTGTGGAGGAGGCTCGTGAAGGACGCTACTGGGCAGTTGGAGGCAGTCGCCCTCCAACAACAACGGAGGGCGGAGGAGCAACGCTCACAACAACGAGCGGAGCGCCGGGTGGCTAAAGCACAGCAGGTTGGCACAGTAGGGGGCACAGGTGGTGCATCAGCCACTCATCTCAGTCAGTCGACCCGTGGCACCTGGGTCTGCCCAGTGACCTCCTGCCGGCGGGCGTTCGACACTTCACGTGGCCTCAAGGTGCACATAGCCTGGCACAAGCGTCGTGGTGACGTCACCGAATGGCGGTTGTTGTTGTTGGTAGTGTGTGTGTGTCTGGGTGTGTGTGTGATGTGTGTGTCTGCGAGTGTGTGTCTGTGTGTGTGTCTGTGTGTGTGTCTGTGTGAGACCCATAGACTCACCACACAGAGACCCACAGACAGACACCCACAGAGACACCCACAGAGACACCAACAGAGACACCCACAGAGACACCCACAGAGACAGAAACAGAGACACACACAGAGACACCCACAGAGACACCCACAGAGACACACACAGAGACACCCACAGAGACACCCACAGAGACAGAGGCACACACAGAGACACCCACAGAGACAGAGACACCCACAGAGACACCCACAGAGACAGAGACACCCACAGAGACACCCACAGAGACAGAGACACACACAGAGAAACCCACAGAGACAGAGACACACACAGAGACAGAGACACCCACAGAGAAAGAGACACCCACAGAGACACACACAGAGACAGAGACACACGCAGAGACACCCACAGAGACAGAGACACCCACAGAGACAGAGACACCCACAGAGACAGAGACACCCACAGAGACACAGAGACAGAGACACACACAGAGACAGAGACACACACAGAGACACCCAGAGACAGAGACACCCACAGAGACAGAGACACAGAGACACCCACAGAGACAGAGACACACACACAGACACAGAGACACCCACAGAGACAGAGACACAGAGACAGAGACACACACAGAGACACAGAGACAGACAGAGACACAGAGACAGAGACACAGAGACAGAGACAGAGAGAGACAGAGACACACACAGAGACAGACAGAGACACAGAGACAGAGAGAGAGACAGAGACACAGAGACAGAGACAGAGACGCAGAGACACACAGAGACACCCACAGAGACAGAGAGACACCCACAGAGACACAAAGACACACACAGACAGAGACACAGAGACAGAGACACACAGAGACACCCACAGAGACACAGAGACACCCACAGAGACACAAAGACACACACAGACAGAGACACAGAGACAGAGACACACAGAGACAGAGACACAGAGACAGAGACACAGAGACACAGAGACACACAGAGACAGAGACACACAGAGACACCCACAGAGACAGAGACAGAGACACAGAGACAGAGACACAGAGACACACACAGAGACAGAGACACAGAGACACAGAGACACACACAGAGACACCCACAGAGACACAGAGACAGAGACACAGAGACACCCACAGAGACAGAGACAGAGACACAGAGACAGAGACACACAGAGACAGAGACACACAGAGACACACAGACACCCACAGAGACAGACACACACAGAGACAGAGACACAGAGAGACCCACAGAGACAGAGACACAGAGACAGAGACAGAGACACAGAGACAGAGACACAGAGACAGAGACGCAGAGACAGAGACAGAGACACAGAGACAGAGACACAGAGACACCGAGACAGAGACACAGAGACACAGAGACAGACACACAGAGACACAGAGACACAGACACACAGAGACAGAGACACAGAGACACGCTGTCCCACCCTCAGCCTCCGTCTGCTCTGTGTCCAAGCGAGCGATCAGCTCCGCGTTCTGTCTCCTCAGATCGGCATTCTGTCTCTGCAGCTCCAGCAGCGTCTGGGTGGAGACACGGAGACACGGAGACAAGGAGACACGGGGAGTAACGGAGACACGGAGACACAGGGAACAGGGGGACACGGGGAGTAACGGGGACAAGGAGACACGGAGACACGGGGAGAAGGAGACACGTAGACACGGGGACAAGAAGACACGGGGAACAGGGGGACACGGGGACAAGGAGACAAGGAGACACGGAGACACGGAGACACGGGGACGAGGAGACACGGGGACGAGGAGACAGGGAGACACGGGGACAAGGAGACACGGGGACAAGGAGACACGGGGACAAGGAGACAAGGAGACACGGAGACACGGGGACACGGGGACAAGGAGACACGGGGATGAGGATACACGGGGACGAGAAGACAAGGAGACACGAGGACAAGGAGACACGGAGACACGGGGACACGGGGAACAGGGAGTAACGGAGACAAGGAGACACGGGGACACGGAGACATGGGGACAAGGAGACACGGGGACACGGAGACACGGAGACACGGGGACAAGGAGACACGGGGACAAGGAGACACGGAGACACGGAGACACGGAGAACAGGGAGACAAGGAGACACGGAGAAACGGGGACACGGGGACAAGGAGACACGGAGACACGGGGACAAGAAGACACGGGGACACGGGGACACGGAGACACGGAGACACGGGGACAAGGAAACACGGGGACGAGAAGACACGGGGACAAGGAGACATTGGGACAAGGAGACACGGGGACGAGGAGACACGGGGACAAGGAGACACGGGGACACGGGGACAAGGAGACACGGAGAACAGGGAGACAAGGAGACACGGAGACACAGGGACAAGAAGACACGGGGACAAGGAGACACGGAGAACAGGGAGACAAGGAGACACGGAGACACGGGGACACGGGGACAAGGAGACACGGGGACAAGGAGACAAGGAGACACGGAGACACGGGGACACGGGGACAAGGAGACACGGGGATGAGGATACACGGGGACGAGAAGACAAGGAGACACGAGGACAAGGAGACACGGAGACACGGGGACACGGGGAACAGGGAGTAACGGAGACAAGGAGACACGGGGACACGGAGACATGGGGACAAGGAGACACGGGGACACGGAGACACGGAGACACGGGGACAAGGAGACACGGGGACAAGGAGACACGGAGACACGGAGACACGGAGAACAGGGAGACAAGGAGACACGGAGACACGGGGACACGGGGACAAGGAGACACGGAGACACGGGGACAAGAAGACACGGGGACACGGGGACACGGAGACACGGAGACACGGGGACAAGGAAACACGGGGACGAGAAGACACGGGGACAAGGAGACATTGGGACAAGGAGACACGGGGACGAGGAGACACGGGGACAAGGAGACACGGGGACACGGGGACAAGGAGACACGGAGAACAGGGAGACAAGGAGACACGGAGACACAGGGACAAGAAGACACGGGGACAAGGAGACACGGAGAACAGGGAGACAAGGAGACACGGAGACACGGGGACACGGGGACAAGGAGACACGTGGACGAGGAGACACGGAGACACGGGGACAAGGAGACACGGGGACACGGAGACACGGAGACACGGAGACACGGAGACACGGGGAACAGGGAGACACGGGGACGAGGAGACACGGAGACACGGGGACAAGGAGACACGGGGACACGGGGACAAGGAGACACGGGGACACGGAGACAAGGAGACACGGAGACAAGGAGACACGGAGACACGGGGACACGGGGAGACACAGAGACAAGGAGACACGGAGACACGGGGACAAGGAGACACGGGGACAAGGAGACACGGGGACAAGGAGACACGGAGACACGGAGACACGGGGACAAGGAAACACGGGGACGAGAAGACACGGGGACAAGGAGACATGGGGACAAGGAGACACGGGGACGAGGAGACACGGGGACAAGGAGACACGGGGACAAGGAGACACGGGGACAAGGAGACACGGAGACACGGGGACAAGAAGACACGGGGAAAATGAGACACGGAGAACAGGGAGACAAGGAGACACGGAGACACAGGGACAAGAAGACACGGGGACAAGGAGACACGGAGAACAGGGAGACACGGAGACACGGAGACACGGAGACACGGAGACACGGGGACACGGGGACAAGGAGACACGGGGACGAGGAGACACGGGGACAAGGAGACACGGGGACACGGAGACAAGGAGACACGGAGACACGGAGACACGGAGACACGGGGAACAGGGAGACACGGGGACAAGGAGACACGGAGACACGGGGACACGGGGACAAGGAGACACGGGGACAAGGAGACACGGAGACACGGGGACAAGGAGACACGGGGACACGGAGACAAGGAGACACGGAGACAAGGAGACACGGAGACACGGGGACACGGGGAGACACAGAGACAAGGAGACACGGAGACACGGGGACAAGGAGACACGGGGACAAGGAGACACGGGGACAAGGAGACACGGAGACACGGGGACAAGGAGACACGGGGACAAGGAGACACGGAGACAAGGAGACACGGGGACAAGGAGACACGGGGACACGGGGACACGGGGACACGGGGACAAGGAGACACGGGGACAAGGAGACACGGGGATAAGGAGACACGGGGACAAGGAGACACGGGGACAAGGAGACACGGGGACAAGAAGACACGGAGACACGGGGACAAGGAGACACGGGGATAAGGAGACACGGGGACGAGGAGACACGGGGACAAGGAGACACGGGGACACGGAGACAAGGAGACACGGAGACACGGAGACACGGAGACACGGGGAACAGGGAGACACGGGGACAAGGAGACACGGAGACACGGGGACACGGGGACAAGGTGACACGGGGACAAGGAGACACGGAGACACGGGGACAAGGAGACACGGGGACACGGAGACAAGGAGACACGGAGACAAGGAGACACGGAGACACGGGGACACGGGGAGACACAGAGACAAGGAGACACGGAGACACGGGGACAAGGAGACACGGGGACAAGGAGACACGGGGACAAGGAGACACGGAGACACGGGGACAAGGAGACACGGGGACAAGGAGACACGGGGACAAGGAGACACGGGGACAAGGAGACACGGGGACAAGGAGACACGGGGACACGGGGACAAGGAGACACGGGGACAAGGAGACACGGGGATAAGGAGACACGGGGACAAGGAGACACGGGGACAAGGAGACACGGGGACAAGAAGACACGGAGACACGGGGACAAGGAGACACGGGGATAAGGAGACACGGGGACAAGGAGACACGAGGACAAGGAGACACGGGGAGAATCGTAATGAGTGTCTACACAGCAAACCCCAAAGTGAGCCGTCTCTGTCTCTGTCTGTGTCTGTGTCTCTGTCTCTGTCTGTGTCTCTGTCTGTGTCTCTGTCTGTGTCTCAGTCTGCGTCTATGTCTCTGTCTGTGTCTATGTCTATGTCTCTGTCTGTGTGTCTGTCTGTGTCTCTGTCTGTGTCTCTGTCTGTGTCTCTGTCTCTGTCTGTGTCTCTGTCTGTGTCTCTGTCTCTGTCTGTGTCTCTGTCTCTGTCTGTGTCTCTGTCTGTATCTCTGTCTGTGTCTCTGTCTGTGTCTCTGTCTGTGTCTGTGTCTCTGTCTGTGTCTGTGTCTCTGTCTCTGTCTGTGTATCTGTCTGTGTCTGTGTCTCTGTCTGTGTCTGTGTCCCTCTCTCTATCTGTGTCTGTGTCTGTGTCGGTGTCTCTGTCTGTGTCTGTGTCTCTGTCTCTGTCTGTGTCTCTGTCTGTGTCTCTGTCTGTGTCTCTGTCTGTGTCTCTTTCTGTGTCTCTGTCTCTGTCTGTGTCTCTGTCTGTGTCTCTGTCTCTGTCTGTGTCTCTGTCTCTGTCTGTGTCTCTGTCTGTGTCTCTGTCTCTGTCTCTGTCTGTGTCTGTGTCTCTGTCTCTGTCTTTGTCTGTGTCTGTGTCTCAGTCTGCGTCTATGTCTCTGTCTTTGTCAATGTCTATGTCTATGTCTCTGTCTGTGTGTCTGTCTGTGTCTCTGTCTGTGTCTCTGTCTGTGTCTCTGTCTCTGTCTGTGTCTCTATCTCTGTCTCTGTCTGTGTCTCTGTCTGTGTCTCTGTCTCTGTCTGTGTCTCTGTCTGTGTCTCTGTCTGTGTCTCTGTCTGTGTCTCTGTCTCTGTCTGTGTCTCTGTCTGTGTCTGTGTCTCTGTCTGTGTCTCTGTCTCTGTCTGTGTCTCTGTCCGTGTCTCTGTCTCTCTGTCTCTGTCTCTGTCTGTGTCTCTGTCTCTGTCTCTGACTGTGTCTCTGTCCCTGTCTGTATCTCTGTCTGTGTCTCTGTCTGTACCTCTGTCTGTGTCTCTGTCTGTGTCTGTGTCTCGCCACACCCACCCACAACACCCACCCACCACACCCACAACATCCACCTAAAACATCCACCCACAACATCCACCCCCCCACCCACCCCACCACCCCCCCACCACCACCCCCCCACCACCACCACCCCCCCACCACCACCCCCCCACCACCACCACCCCCCCCACCACCACCCCCCCCACCACCACCCCCCCACCTTTCCGCTGGCCTCCTTCTCCTGCTGTGCCCCGTCTCGAGCCCCCTGCAGCTCCTCGTGGGCCTCGTGGATCTGCCGCTGGTGGAGCCGCAGCTCCGCCTGGAGCGCCGCCTGGCGGAGCTCCGCGGCCTCGGCCCGGGCCCCCAGCGCCAACGCCGACGCCTCGGAGCTCCGCGAGCGCTCCACGGCGGAGCGCTCGCGGAGCTCCGCCGTGGAGAGCCGCTCAGTCACGGAGCGGAACTCAGAGGCCTAGGGGGTGGGAGTGGGGGGGTGGTGGTGGTGGTGGGGGGGTGGTGGTGGGGGGGTGGTGATGGTGGTGGTGGTGATGGTGGTGGTGGTGGTGGTGATGGTGGTGGTGGTGGTGATGGTGATGGTGGTGGTGGTGATGGTGGTGGTAGTGATGGTGGTGGTGGTGATGGTGGTGGTGGTGGTGATGGTGGTGGTGGTGATGGTGGTGGTGGTGATGGTGGTGGGTGATGGTGGTGGTGGTGATGGTGGTGGTGGTGATGGTGGTGGTGATGGTGGTGGTGGTGGTGATGGTGGTGGTGGTGAGAGATGTGGGTGAGAGATGTGGGTGAGAGATGTTGGGTGAGAGATGTGGGAGAGAGAGAGATGTGGGTGAGAGATGTGGGAGAGATGTGGGCGAGAGATGTGGATGTGGAGATGTGGGTGAGAGATGTGGGTGAGAGATGTGGGTGAGAGATGTGGGTGAGAGATGTGGGTGAGATGTGGGTGAGAGATGTGGGAGAGAGATGTGGGTGAGAGATGTTGGGTGAGAGACGTGGGTGAGAGATGTGGGTGAGAGATGTGGGAGAGAGATGTGGGTGAGAGATGTGGGTGAGAGATGTGGGTGAGAGATGTGGGTGAGAGATGTGGGTGAGAGATGTGGGAGAGAGATGTGGGTGAGAGATGTGGGAGAGAGATGTGGGTGAGAGATGTTGGGTGGAGATGGGTGAGATGTGGGTGAGAGATGTGGGAGAGAGATGTGGGTGAGAGATGTGGGTGAGAGATGGGTGAGAGATGTGGGTGAGAGATGTGGGAGAGAGATGTGGGTGAGAGATTGGGTGAGAGATGTGGGTGAGAGAGTGGGTGAGAGATGTGGGTGAGAGATGTGGGTGAGAGATGTGGGAGAGAGATGTGGGTGAGAGATGTGGGTGAGAGACGTGGTGAGAGTGGGTGAGAGATGTGGGAGAGAGATGGGGTGAGAGATGTGGGTGAGAGATGTGGGTGAGAGATGTGGGTGAGAGATGGGGAGAGAGAGTGGGAGAGAGATGTGGGAGAGATGTGGGTGAGAGATGTGGGAAGAGATGTGGGTGAGAGATGTGGGTGAGAGATGTGGGTGAGAGATGTTGGGTGAGGGATGTGGGAGAGAGATGTGGGTGAGAGATGTGGGTGAGAGATGTGGGTGAGAGATGTGGGTGAGAGATTGGGTGAGAGATGTGGGTGAGAGATGTGGGAGAGAGATGTGGGCGAGAGATGTGGATGTGAGAGACATGTGGGTGAGAGATGTGGGTGAGAGATGTGGGTGAGAGATGTGGGAGAGAGATGTGGGTGAGAGATGTGGGTGAGAGATGTGGGTGAGAGATGTGGGTAGAGAGATGTGGTGAGAGTGTGGGTGAGAGATGTGGGTGAGAGATGTGGTGAGAGATGTGGGGTGAGAGACGTGGGTGAGAGATGTGGGTGAGAGATGTGGGTGAGAGATGTGGGTGAGAGATGTGGGTGAGAGATGTGGGTGAGAGATGTGGGGAGAGATGTGGGTGAGAGATGTGGGTGAGAGATGTGGGTGAGAGATGTGGGTGAGAGATGTGGGAGAGAGATGTGGGAGAGAGATGTGGGAGAGAGATGTGGGTGAGAGATGTGGGAAAGAGATGTGGGTGAGAGATGTGGGTGAGAGATGTGGGTGAGAGATGTTGGGTGAGGGATGTGGGAGAGAGATGTGGTGAGAGATGTGGGAGAGAGATGTGGGTGAGAGATGTGGAGAGAGATGTGTGGGAGAGATGTGGGTGAGAGATGTGGGAAAGAGATGTGGGTGAGAGATGTGGGTGAGAGATGTGGGTGAGAGATGTTGGGGGAGGGATGTGGGAGAGAGATGTGGGTGAGAGATGTGGGTGAGAGATGTGGGTGAGAGATGTGGGAGAGAGATGTGGGAGAGAGATGTGGGAGAGAGATGTGGGCGAGAGATGTGGGTGAGAGATGTGGGTGAGAGATGTGGGTGAGAGATGTGGGAGAGAGATGTGGGTGAGAGATGTGGGTGAGAGATGTGGGTGAGAGATGGGGAGAGATGTGGGAGAGAGTGGGCGAGAGATGTGGGAGAGGATGTGGAGAGAGATGTGGGTGAGAGATGTGTGAGAGAGATGTGGGTGAGAGATGTGGGTGAGAGATGTGGGGAGAGATGTGGGTGAGAGATGTGGGTGAGAGATGTGGGAGAGAGATGGGTGAGAGATGTGGGAGAGAGATGTGGTGAGAGTGTGAGACGATTGGGTGAGAGATGTGGGTGAGAGATGTGGGTGAGAGATGTGGGTGTGAGATGTGGGAGAGAGATAGGGGGTGAGAGATGTGGTGAGAGAGGATGTGGGTGAGAGATGTGGTGAGAGATGTGGGTGAGAGATGTGGGTGAGAGATGTGGGTGAAGAGATGTGGGTGAGAGATGTGGGTGAGAGATTGTGGAGTGAGAGATGTGGGATGAGAGATGTGGGTGGAGAGATGTGGGAGAGAGATGGGTGAGAGTGAGAGATGTGGGTGAGAGATGTGGGTGAGAGATGTGGGTGAGAGATGTGGTGAGAGATAGTGGGTGAGAGATGTGGGTGAGAGATGTGGGTGAGAGATGTGGGGCGAGGATGTGGGAGAGAGATGTGGGTGAGAGATGTGGGAGAGAGATGTGGGTGAGAGATGTGAGATGAAGAGATGTGGTGAGAGATGTGTGGAGATGTGGGAGAGATGTGGGTGAGAGATGTGGGGAGAGATGTGGGAAGAGATGTGGGTGAGAGATGTGGTGAGGAGAATGTGGGTGAGAGATGTGGGTGAGAGATGTGGGTGAGAGATGTGGGTGAGAGATGTGGCGAGAGAGAGATGTGGGTGAGAGATGTGGGAGAGCGATGTGGGGAGAGATGTGGGTGAGAGATGTGGGAGAGAGATGTGGGTGAGAGATGTGGGTGAGAGATGTTGGTGAGAGACTGTGGGTGAGAGATGTTGGGAGAGAGATGTGGGTGAGAGATGTGGGTGAGAGATGTGGGTGAGAGATGTGGGAGAGAGATGTGGTGAGAGATGTGGGTGAGAGATGTTGGGTGAGAGATGTGGGAGAGAGATGTGGGTAGAGAGATGTGGGTGAGAGATGTGGGCGAGAGATGTGGGTGAGAGATGTGGGTGAGAGATGTGGGAGAGAGATGTGGGTGAGAGATGTGGGTGAGAGATGTGGGTGAGAGATGTGGGAGGATGAGAGATGTGGGTGAGAGATGTGGGCGAGAGATGTGGGAGAGAGATGTGGGAGAGAGATGTGGGTGAGAGATGTGTGAGAGAGATGTGGGTGAGAGATGTGGGTGAGAGATGTGGGTGAGAGATGTGGGTGAGAGATGTGGGAGAGATGTGGGTGAGAGATGTTGGGTGAGAGATGTGGGAGAGAGATGTGGGTGAGAGATGTGAGAGAGAGATGTGGGTGAGAGATGTGGGAGAGAGATGTGGGTGAGAGATGTGGGAGAGAGATGTGGGTGAGAGATATGGGTGAGAGATGTGGGTGATGAGATGTGGGAGAGAGATGTGGGAGAGAGATGTGGGTGAGAGATGTGGGTGAGAGATGTGGGAGAGAGATTGTGGGTGAGAGATGTTGGGTGAGAGATGTGGGTGAGAGATGGTGGAGAGAGATGTGGGTGAGAGATGTGGGTGAGAGATGTTGGGTGAGAGATGTGGGGTGAGAGATGTGGGTGAGAGATGTGGGGTGAGAGATGTTGGGTGAGAGATGTGGGTGAGAGATGTGGGTGAGAGATGTGGGTGAGAGAGAGACGTGGGTGAGAGATGTGGGGAGAGCGATGTGGGTGAGAGATGTGGGTGAGAGATGTGGGAGAGAGATATGGGTGAGAGATGTGGGTGAGAGATGTTGGTGAGGAGACGTGGGTGAGAGATGTTGGGAGAGAGATGTTGGAGAGAGATGTGGTGGTGAGAGATGTGGGTGAGAGATGTGGGAGAGAGATGTGGGTGAGAGATGTGGGTGAGAGATGTGGGATGAGAGATGTGGGAGAGAGATGTGGGTGAGAGATGTGGGTGAGAGATGTGGGAGAGAGATGTGGGTGAGAGATGTGGGTGAGAGATGTTGGTGAGAGATCGTGGGTGAGAGATGTTGGGAGAGAGATTTGGAGAGGAGATGTGGGAGAGAGATGTGGGTGAGAGATGTGGGTGAGAGATGTGGTGAGAGACGGGGTGAGAGATGTTGGGAGAGAGATGTGGTAGAGAGATGTGGGTGAGAGATGTTGGTGAGAGACGTGGGTGAGAGATGTGGGTGATAGATGTGGGAGAGAGATGTTGGGGAGAGATGTGGGAGAGAGATGTGGGTGAGAGATGTGGGCGAGAGATGTTGGTGAGAGATGTGGGTGAGTGATGTGGGAGAGAGATGTGGAGAGAGATGTGGGTGAGAGATGTGGGAGAGAAGAGTGTTGTGAGAGATGTGGGTGAGAGATGTGGGAGGAGGATGTGGGAGAGAGATGTGGGAGAGAGATGTGGGTGAGAGATGTGGGCGAGAGATGTGGGTGAGAGGATGTGGGAGAGAGATGTGGGTGAGAGATGTGGGCGAGAGATGTGGGTGAGAGATGTGGGAGAGAGATGTGGGTGAGAGATGTGGGTGAGAGCATGTGGGTGAGAGATGTGGGTGAGAGATGTGGTGAGAGATGTGGGTGAGAGATGTTGGGTGAGAGAGATGTGGGAGAGAGATTTGGGTGAGAGATGTGGGAGAGAGATGTGGGTGAGAGATGTGGGTGTGAAGATGTGGGGTGAGAGATGGGTGAGAGATGTGGGTGAGAGATGTGGGTGAGAGATGGTGGGCGAGAGAGAGACGTGGTGAGAGATGTGGGAGAGCGATGTGGGTGAGAGATGTGGTTGAGAGATGTTGGGAGAGAGATGTGGGTGAGAGATGTGGGTGAGAGATGTTGGTGAGAGACGTGGGTGAGAGATGTTGGGAGAGAGATGTTGGAGAGAGATGTGGTGAGAGATGTGGGTGAGAGATGTGGGAGAGAGATGTGGGTGAGAGATGTGGGTGAGAGATGTGGGAGAGAGATGTGGGAGAGAGATGTGGGTGAGAGATGTGGGTGAGAGATGTGGGAGAGAGATGTGGGTGAGAGATGTGGGTGAGAGATGTTGGTGAGAGACGTGGGTGAGAGATGTTGGGAGAGAGATGTTGGAGAGAGATGTGGGAGAGAGATGTGGGTGAGAGAATGGGGTGAGAGTGTTGGTGAGAGACGTGGGTGAGAGATGTTGGGAGAGAGATGTTGGGAGAGAGATGTGGGTGAGAGATGTTGGTGAGAGACGTGGGTGAGAGACGTGGGTGAGAGATGTGGGTGAGAGATGTGGGTGAGAGATGTGGGTGAGAGATGTGGGAGAGAGATGTGGGTGAGAGATGTGGGTGAGAGATGTGGGTGAGAGATGTGGGAGAGAGATGTGGGTGAGAGATGTGTGTGAGAGATGTGGGAGAGAGATGTGGGTGAGAGATGTTGGGTGAGAGATGTCTCTCTCTCTCTGACCATCAGTGTAAACCAAACTATGCTTGGTGTAGTCGGCACTTTGAATCCGTTCATCATTTAGGGTTTCTGGTTGTTGTTGTTGTTGTGGTTGCTTTGTGTAAACCCCACATCCACTTTTTAAATGAAAGACTCAACGACAAAATATTGTTTATCCTGGTCTCTTTACCCCCCTCTCTCCCCTCTCTACCCCCCTCTCTCTCTACCCCCTCTCTCTCTACCCCCCCTCTCTCCCCTCTCTACCCCCTCTCTCTCTCTACCCCCCCTCTCTCTACCTCTACCCCCCTCTCTACCCCCCTCTCTCTCTACCCCTCTCTACCCCCCTCTCTACCCCCTCTCTACCCCTATCTAACCCCCTCTCTACCCCCTCTCTACCCCTCTCTACCCCCTCTCTCTCTCTCTACCCCTCTCTCTCTCAACCCCCTCTCTATCTACCCTCTCTCTACCCCCCCTCTCTCTCTACCCCCCTCTCTACCCCCCCTCTCTACCCCTCTCTACCCCCTCTCTCTCTCTACCCCCTCTCTACCCCCCCCTCTCTCTCTACCCCCCCTCTCTACCCCTCTCTACCCCCTCTCTACCCCCTCTCTGCTCCCCTCTCTCTCTACCCCCTCTCTCTACCCCCTCTCTCTACCCCCTCTCTCTACCCCCTCTCTCTCTCTACCCTCTCTCTCTACCTCGTGTCTCTCTCCCCGTGTCTCTCTCCCCATGTCTCTCTCTCTCCCCGTGTCTCTCTCCCCGTGTCTCTCTATCCCCGCGTTTCTCTCTGTGTCTCTCTCTCCCCGTGTCTCTCTCTCACCGTGTCTCTCTCTCCCCGTGTCTCTCTCTCACCGTGTCTCTCTCTCCCAATGTCTCTCTCTCCCCGTGTCTCTCTCCCCATGTCTCTCTCTCTCTCCCCGTGTCTCTCTATCCCCGTGTCTCTCTCTGTGTCTCTCTCTCCCCGTGTCTCTCTCTCTCACCGTGTCTCTCTCTCCCAATGTCTCTCTCTCCCCGTGTCTCTCTCCCCATGTCTCTCTCTCTCCCCGTGTCTCTCTCTCCCCGGTCTCTCTTTCTCCCCGTGTCTCTCTTTCACCGTGTCTCTCTCTCTCCCTGTGTCTCTCTCTCCCCGCGTGTCTCTCTCTCCCCGTGTCTCTCTCTCCCCGTGTCTCTCTCTCCCGTGTCTCTCTCTCTCCCTGTGTCTCTCTCTCCCCGCGTGTCTCTCTCTCCCCGTGTCTCTCTCTCTCTCCCCATGTCTCTCTCTCTCTCCCCGTGTCTCTCTCCCCATGTCTCTCTCTCCCCGTGTCTCTCTCTCCCCGTGTCTTTCTCTCTCACCGTGTCTCTCTCTCCGTGTCCCTCTCTCTCCCCGTGTCTCTCTCCCCGTGTCTCTCTCTCCCCGTGTCTATCTCTCTCACCGTGTCTCTCTCTCCCCGTGTCTCTCTCTCCCCCGTGTCTATCTCTCTCACCGTGTCTCTCTCTCCCCGTGTCTCTCTCTCCCCGTGTCTCTCTCTCTCACCGTGTCTCTCTCTCCCCGTGTCTCTCTCCCCATGTCTCTCTCTCCCCATGTCTCTCTCTCCCCGTGTCTCTCTCTCTCACCGTCTCTCTCCCCGTGTCTCTCTCTCCCCGTGTCTCTCTCTCTCCCCGTGTCTCTCTCTCTCCGTGTCTCTCTCTCTCCCCATGTCTCTCTCTCTCCGTGTCTCTCTCTCCCCGTCTCTCTCTCCCCGTGTCTCTCTCTCTCCCCATGTCTCTCTCTCTCCGTGTCTCTCTCTCCCCGTGTCTCTCTCTCCTCCCCATGTCTCTCTCCTCCCCGTCTCTCTCTCCCCGTGTCTCTCTCTCCCCATGTCTCTCTCTCTCTCCGTGTCTCTCTCTCCCCGTCTCTCTCTCCCCGTGTCTCTCTCTCTCCCCATGTCTCTCTCTCTCCGTGTCTCTCTCTCCCCGTGTCTCTCTCTCTCCCCATGTCTCTCTCTCCCCGTCTCTCTCTCCCCGTGTCTCTCTCTCCCCGTGTCTCTCTCTCCCCGTGTCTCTCTCCCCCCGTGTCTCTCTCTCCCCGTGTCTCTCTCTCCCCGTCTCTCTCTCCCCGTGTCTCTCTCTCTCCCCGTGTCTCTCTCTCCCGTCTCTCTCTCCCCGTGTCTCTCTCTCCCTGTGTCTCTCTCTCCCCGTGTCTCTCTCCCCGTGTCTCTCTCTCCGTCTCTCTCTCTCCCCGTGTCTCTCTCTCCCTGTGTCTCTCCCCGTGTCTCTCTCCCCGTGTCTCTCTCTCCCCGTCTCTCTCTCCCGTGTCTCTCTCTCCCCGTGTCTCTCTCTCCCCGTGTCTCTCTCCCCGTGTCTCTCTCTCCGTCTCTCTCTCTCCCCGTGTCTCTCTCTCCCTGTGTCTCTCCCGTGTCTCTCTCCCGTGTCTCTCTCTCCGTCTCTCTCTCTCCCCGTGTCTCTCTCTCCCTGTGTCTCTCCCGTGTCTCTCCCCGTCTCTCTCTCTCCCCACCACCACCTCCGCCCCCAACCTGCTCGTCCAACCTCCTCTGCATCTGCATGATCTTCTTCTCCGTGTCTCTCTCTCTGTGTCTCTCTCTCTCCGTGTCTCTCCCCGTCTCTCTCTCCCCATGTCTCTCTCTCTCCCTGTCTCTCTCCCTGTGTCTCCCCCCACCATCACCACCACCACCACCACCCACCTGCTCGTCCAACCTCCTCTGCATCTGCATGATCTTCTTCTCTGTGTCTCTCTCTCTCCCTGTGTCTCTCTCTCTCCCCTTGTCTCTATCTCTCCACGTGTCTCTCTCCACGTGTTTCTCTCTCCCCGTCTCTCTCCCCGTCTCTCTCTCTCCGTGTCTCTCTCCATGTATCTCCCCGTCTCTCTCCCACCACCACCCCCACCACCACCTCCACCACCACCCACCTGCTCGTCCAACCTCCTCTGCATCTGCATGATCTTCTTCTCCGTGTCTCTCTCCCTCCCCGTGTCTCTCTCCCTCCCCGTGTCTCTCTCTCTCCCTGTGTCTCTCCCCACCACCACCACCACCGCCACCACCTCCACCACCACCACCACCCACCTGCTCGTCCAGCCTCCTCTGCATCTGCATGATCTTCTTCTCCATGTCTCTCTCTCCCCGTGTCTCTCTCTCCCCGTGTCTATCTCTCTCCCTGTGTCTCTCTCTCTCTCCCCGTGTCTCTCCCTGTGTCTCTCCGTGTGTCTCCCCCTGTGTCTCACCACCACCACCACCACCTCCACCACCCACCTGCTCGTCCAGCCTCCTCTGCATCTGCATGATCTTCTTCTCCATGTCTCTCTCTCTCTCCGTGTCTCTCTCTCTCCGTGTCTCTCTCTCTCCCCGTGTCTCTCCCCGTGTCTCTCCACCACCACCACCCACCTGCTCGTCCAGCCTCCTCTGCATCTGCATGATCTTCTTCTCCATGTCTCTCTCTCCCCGTGTCTCTCCCCGTGTCTCTCTCTCCGTGTGTGTCTCTCTCTCCCTGTGTCTCTCCCCACCACCACCACCTCCACCACCCACCTGCTCGTCCAACCTCCTCTGCATCTGCATGATCTTCTTCTCCGTGTCTCTCTCTCTCTCTGTGTCTCTCTCTCCCTGTGTCTCACCACCACCACCACCACCCACCTGCTCGTCCAGCCTCCTCTGCATCTGCATGATCTTCTTCTCCGTGTCTCTCTCCATGTCTCTCTCTCTCCCCGTGTCTCTCTCTCCCCACCACCACCTCCACCACCACCACCACCACCCACCTGCTCGTCCAGCCTCCTCTGCATCTGCATGATCTTCTTCTCCGTGTCTCTCTCTCCCCGTGTCTCTCTCCCCGTGTCTCTCCCCACCACCACCATCACCACCACCTCCACCACCACCACCTCCACCACCCACCTGCTCGTCCAGCCTCCTCTGCATCTGCATGATCTTCTTCTCCATGTCTCTCTCTCTCCCTGTGTCTCTCTCTCTCTCTGTGTCTCTCTCTCTCTCTGTGTCTCTCCACCACCACCACCACCACCCACCTGCTCGTCCAGCCTCCTCTGCATCTGCATGATCTTCTTCTCCGTGTCTCTCTCTCTGTGTCTCTCTCTCCCCGTGTCTCTCTCTCCCTGTGTCTCTCCCCACCACCACCACCACCACCCACCTGCTCGTCCAGCCTCCTCTGCATCTGCATGATCTTCTTCTTCGTGTCTCTCTCTCTCCATGTCTCTCTCTCCCCACCACCACCATCACCACCACCACCACCACCACCCACCTGCTCGTCCAGCCTCCTCTGCATCTGCATGATCTTCTTCTCCGTGTCTCTCTCTCCCTGTGTCTCTCCCCACCACCACCACCCACCTGCTCGTCCAGCCTCCTCTGCATCTGCATGATCTTCTTCTCCATGTCTCTCTCTCCCCGTGTCTCTCCCCGTGTCTCTCTCTCCCCACGTGTCTCTCTCTCTCCCTGTGTCTCTCCCCACCTCCGCCACCCACCTGCTCGTCCAGCCTCCTCTGCATCTGCATG